ATTTTCTGAACATTCTCGACATTTCCAAAAGCAAAAAGACCTTGATAAGACAATTTAATTAAATGTCTCTCCAGCACCCGCTAAACCATTGGCAACTGGGATGATCGCATTAAGATATGTCTTAATTGCTCATTTATGGATTCAAAAGAAATGTTTGAAACATGTGCTAAGCGATTTTATTAGCTACCGCCGGTCATTAAAGTCGTCGACATCAAAAGTCTAAAAATATTCTTAGCCAAGAATGAAAAAAGGCAAGCGGCTGCCAAAGCAAAACAACAGGTAATTAAGAATGCAAATAAACAATGGCAAACATTGTGAGTTGGCGAATTGCAGAAAATCGCTTTTCACGCGGCTTTTGGAATAAGATTGCCGGCGCAGTGCTATTCATTTGGTTTTTTTTTAATTTACCAAAATACTTGAATTGTGTGTCAAAATGAAATATTTGCGCAATGTGCAAGATAAACTTGATTTGCCATAAAATTAAATTTCGCGCCCATTTGGTGATTTGGTGAGGACCAGTGAAGCGGCCCAGCCCAAAGATTTGTGCAAATGCTCAGCCTCAGCTATTCGAATAAAATCAATTTTCGACTTCTGGCATCGCGAGGCTGCGGCCTCTGCATTATGGCCAAAAAGCCTGGGCGAATAAATCAATTTGCAATCTGTTGAAAAATGTGGCCCGATCATTTGACATTCTCTAGTCGGACAAGTGTGAAAGGAAATGCCTACAAATCTATCTGTAAGAACTTTCGACAAATTCGTTGCACTCTGAAATTGATTGCATTAATTTAAATGTGTAGTGGCTATATTTCAGCAAAGTTCAAGCTGCAAATTATTTACGTCAACGATTGGCGACTAACGCAAGCGAACTGCACACCAACAGCAAATAGCTAAGTGAAAATAAGGGGAGGAGAGGATCACAAAAAGTCGTCAGAATCATATAAATATAGATGCCACAATGAAAATTGTAAATGAGTAATATAAGCCAAAAGGATCACAAGGCTATATTAACCAAATTATGCTATAAATTTACGATACATCTTTTAGTTTAAGCGTAATAGGCCGTAAATCCATATTTTAAATTTTAATTAAATTTAATTGTGAATATTCAAATTAGCTAAAGCTAATTGCAATGTAATTGAACAGTTTGTAATTTGAACAGTTTGGTATTATAACCAAATGTTCTACGTGTTAAATCAACATATTTTCCAAATACCATTAAACATTTTAAGGTGATAAAAATATAGAAAGAATAAGTTTTATTTATGTTTTAAGATTTCACACTAAGGGAAACTGTTCAATAAATAAATAAGTGTAATAAAGCAAAAAAAAAAACCTTTAATTGAATGCAATTGAGTTTGATGCATAAATGTACCAGCTCTTGCCATTTTATCTTAATTTAATGTGAATGATCTGCGACTTTTTGTAATTTATCAATTAAAATAGATCGTTTCCTCGTACAATTCGAAAACACTTTCCCACATTAGTCTTGCTGCGAGACAATAATTACATTTAATTAAAACGAAACATTTACTAGTATTTGTTATTTATAAACTCTTAATATCTATGATGTTTGCAAATGATTCCCTTGAAAATGTTTTAATACATCCCCTTTGTCTTTAATTTGTTACAATTTTTAATGTTTGTGTGTTTATTTTGGCTTGCTTTGCTCTCGTTCCCCATCATTACATAATTTTATTATACTTCTTTTTGCGAGCCTTCTCTCTTCTACATAGAGAAAAATAAAATTATTAATAAGTTTTTATTCTATAAATATAATGTCCCCTCAATTTACAATACATATTTAATAACATTCGAAACGACTTAAAATACCACATTAATGTGTGAAATCAATTATGCTAGGAAAGAATTAGATAAGGCTTAAAAATAAACAAACTATTTATTTATTTTATTTTAAATTAACTTTACTATACAAACTATTACTTTTAAAAAATAAACCGATTTCTCAGCTTTTTTTCGCAGTGCAGGGTTTGGAATTCGGCTGTTACAGCTTTGTTGTTGCTGTTTGATTAGGCGTCTAGGTTGACACATAGGGGGCACACAAACACAGACAGACGGACATATAGACAGATCGGCCGACCGACAGAAAGTCCCTCATAGATAGACACCCATACTCACATCAAGCACGAGAGACGGACAGAGACACATGTGTTGAAAATTTAACACAAATGTGCAAATTTAATTAAATTCAAACGAGAAATAAATATAAATAAGCTTCGTTCACATATGTACGGGTAATACTATATAGTGGCGGAGATCTTGTGAAAATAAGAAACTGTGTGACCTAAGGAAAAACAACAAACACATTTGCCGCTGCAATTGTGTACGTAAATAAAAACGCAATTTTCACAAATTTTTTTAAACTTGACAAAGTCAAGTCACAGAGGAAATGTGCACAAAGAAAACGCAAAACATACAAACATCAACACTAGGCGACAAACTTTGCAGAGCCCTGATAATATAAATTACCAACATTTAAAGTCTCTTTAAAATAATATATATTTGACTTTTTTATTTTTTTTAATATTGGAACCAAATTTTATCGGGGAACTTTGTTATAGTCTAAAGGTTTGTCAGCTAGTGTATAGCGAATAGAGGGCAACATTTAAAGTATCTTTAAAATAATATATATTTGACTTATATATTGTTTTTAATATTGAACCAAATTTAATAGGGGAACTTTGTTATAGACTAAAGGTTTGTTATCTAGTGTATAGCGAATAGAGGGCCTGTGAAAAATGCGGGATTTGTAAATGCCGTAAATTAGCTAAATACAAAATTTAACAAATTAGATTAATATATATATTTAAACACAAAACGAGATAAGGCCTTTAAAATGTAGACTACTAAAGAGAGTTAAGGAGATAAGACTTTTTTTAAAGAATAATGACTCACTGGTGAGGAACACAACAAATAAGTACATATTTCGTTTTAATATATATTGGCACCAATATTACTCATTCCTAGTTAAACACTTTGAGGCAGTTTGGCCAATAATTTCATAATTTGCTGATTTTCATAATTGCTGATAAGGAAATAAAAAAAATGAAATTGACAAACAAAAATTTAAAATATAATTTGTCTCATTGGACTTATTGCCGGCTTCAATAAAGTATTTTATCGACGGTATCGCCATTTGATAATGGGCCTGCCCAAAAACCCCGAAAATAACTCCGCCCAGGTCACTTCTTCATTTCGTTATCGAAGCAGCATATGTATGCCAAGTGGCTTTGATTTGGTTTTTATTTCCACTTATTTATATACAAAGCATGACACTTTTTTATAGAATCTTAACTCGCTTCTTTGCCATAAAGATAAAATAAAAGCTGGAAAAAATGAGGAACGTTGAGTGGGGGCGTTAATTTATTAATGCGGAGCCGTGAGCCAAAACAAAATCTGCGAGAACACTTTTATAACTTGATTTATTTAAAGACAAAGGCATTTGGCAAACGAATTGGATGAGTTGGTGTTGTTAGGGTTTAAAAATAATTCGAAATTATGAAACATAAACAGAAGGACATTGGCAAAGGTCATTTTTGACACTAAGAAACACTAGCAACATAAATTAATGAACTTAATTGCATAATAAATTACATTAATTTGCGTTAACATTCCAATTCATTTAGGAATTTTAAAACAGTAAAACTATTTAAGCTGATATTAAAAACAACTTAATTCAAACTATTTGTTTGTATTTGACCATTGTTTGAAGTGTGATTTATGCATGTTCGTATTTACTTTTAGATTTTGGGATAATCTTAAGTTGTCAAATTCCTACATTTTACTTTTCTCTATAAAGCCTTTATTATTGAGCCAAAAATGTTTTAAAAGATATGCAACTATAAATACTAATAATGCCAAAGTCAACTGACAAACAATTCAAATAATAAATAAATGTACAGATGTCTGCAAAATAATAGTAGTAGGTTAACATTTATTTTAAGCATTTGATTTCTTGACAAATATTAAAATTCAGGAAAACGTAAAGGTAAACGATATGTGCTGCATTTCTACAAAACTTATATTTAATTATTTACGTTTTTAAAACTTTTAAAATATAAGTTTTCTACTGGAAAACTAATATATCATCTATGGTTGCTTTTAAATGAATATACATTGCCACAGATATTTGAACGCAGCTGTATACGAAAATAAATACACAAACGAACTCGTATATGTTTCGTATCACTTCTTTCATCAGACATTCACACATAGGCGATCATCAACTCGTTCGGCCGTTGAAAAAAATTGCAAATAAAAAGAACCACTGAAAAAAGCACGAAAAAGCAACAATAACAACCAGAACTGACGCAGAATTTCGCTACCAGCTGCCAAGTTGAAAGCAGCATTAATTTTTCTTTTAATTCGGGGACACTTGTTGTTGTTGCTGCGGTCTCTTTTAATTAATAAACAGCCAACAGAAATTCAACAAAAAAAAACAAATAAATATTTTATAGAAAACCGAAATCAGATGCGATTAGCACTATCAAGAAGCGCGAGAGTTGAGGGTTGTGAATATATTTCGATCTGTCGCTACCCATTCAGATTCGTGAGCTCGCGGTACCGCATCGCATTTTTGTATTTTTAGCTAATTTCAGTTGCTATTGAGCTTGGCAATTAGTTACACTTGATTATATGAAAGCAGATCGCGGGTAAACACTTTGCCGGTCCCCCAAGTTCGATGTTTAGTTTTGTCGGTTTGTATTTTTGCGCACATTCCACTTTGTTGTTGGATCAGTTTTTGTTTTGAATTGTAAGGAAATCACATATTGTCTTTCATAATTTAACTACAAATTAAAAAAGTTAAATGATGCGAGTAAATAGGTTTATGAATGCAAACTATATAAAACACTAAACTATATAAACACATATTTGTGTTTTAAAAGTTTCCATTCGTTTTTCATGTGTTTGCACATGTTCAATAAATTTTAAATATCAAGTTGGTTATTTCCTTTACTTAAGTAAACATTTTTTCTAAATACCTAATTGCTTGGTGCTGGATTCGTTGCTGCTGTTTCACTACTAATCATATGTATCAATGAATATATTTATTTAAATATTTGTGCATATACAATATGGAGACATTTCCCAATGGCACACTTTGTTTAAAAAATTCACATTAACACTAGCACACACTAGCACACTTGCTTTTACGACTGGCAAGGAAACGCGCGAAAAACGCGTCCGATGAAAAGCGCTGGTATACCGCTTCCAAAAACGCCAGCGAACCGCACCCGAGCACGTTCTAATCAGAACTGAGACTGAGCAACCAAAACTCCAACAGGCTGAACCGCACTCACCCACACAGCAACATGTTGCCGACCTTGTCAAATCATTTTCGAGAGCGTAACTTTTTCGAAAGAGAGAGTAAAATGGCTTTGCGAGAATGCTCTGATTGGGTTTCATGTTTTCATTTTGAAAATACAACAACAATTCGTGGCGCCGGCACTATTGATCAACAGAGTTTAGCCATTAACACTTTTTTAAAGTACACAAAATTAAAGCCTAAGAACATTAAATTTTCTATAGAGAATATTATTATAGAGATATTTTTCTTAAACTTCTTCATAGTTTTGAAAGCAATTATAAATATTAGATCATTAAAAGACGTAAGGAACTTTACAGTAAGTTTAATCTTTAAAATAATCTGTTGCTTCAGTCACAAAAAGATTGGCTTATTAGAAAACCGTATAAAAAATTAGAAAATTTATAAACATATTAACATATTTACAATAAAAAAAATGTGCAAACTAACTATTAAAATACTAGCTTTTTCAACTGCATTCATTTTCATCACTAAGGTCATCTTATGCTAACAACTTGAAATCAACTGAGAATTCTTAGAAGCAAATAGATTCATTACCTTATTAAATGAGTTTCACTGACTTCCTTTTTCAAGGCTAACGAAAATCCATAAGTTAAAGTGTTCAAGAAGATACTTGCAGAAGTGCATGTGCACTGAACTATGCAATAGAATGCATTACAGCTAATGTAGTATTCTGATCGATTGTTATAGCTAAGGTATATTAATTGCATGGGACATAAACAAATTAATAAATAATTTAAATAATAAATAGTTTGTAAAGGGTACCATATTTTTTTTGTTAGGCGTTCCTATCAAGTGGCGTGTTTGTAATCAGCTTATAATATGGACTAGTCAATGAATCAATCATTATAAAATCGGACGGTTAGCAATAAGAAAAACAATAAAAGCCAGTTCCAACTTTTAACTCATTTATTTTAATCTTTTCGAGTATGTTCTTGAGAGTGCAATACAACTTGCAATTGTGCCGCTGTTATCAAGATAATGTATAACTAATAAATTGCTTGCGACTATTACATATTTAAAGTATTCTTTCGTATATTTACGATTTTGATCTGCCACAAACTTAAGCTTCTCATACTGTTTATGACAACAAAACTATCAATAGTGATTAATAATAAATTTGGTTTAATTACACATATCACATTTAAAATACATTTTTCTGTTAATAGTAGAAGATAACCAGTTGAGCGAATTACTTTAATGTTCATCATTTGTAAACAACCGTATAAAGTTAATCAAAAACATTCCAATGCAAAAGTTAAGGCAATACGATTGGGTTACACTAAAGTCATGCCATTTAATCGCCAGGATCTGCTGGATCCAGTTAATAGAACTTTGATTTATACCTTGTGCAATTGACACCCACACCACTTGAACCTCAATTTCCTGAAATTAAATTACTTACTGGCAGCTCAGTTCGTTCGCCGTTAATTTTAGCTTAGCAGGATATTGTCAGCACTCGTTTTCAACCCCTTGGATCCTGTTGTCCGAGTGTAGGAAAATGTTTGAACTGCTCTGTTGACACACAAACACCTGCGCAAAACAAGTACTTTGGTTGCAGTGTGTTTGCTGACTTGTGCAATTTCCGACTGACAGCACGGGGCGTATACGTAATGAACTTTGACATAGCCTGGGCAACAGATGTCCGCAAAGTTAGCCATTGTACAACTAGATTGGTTGAGAAATTTTTGATTCTCCAAATTTTTGAAACTAAAGATAGATAATATAGAAAACCCATTTGTTGCTGGCGTTGATAAAAATTGAAGCTTTACAAGAACATTTAAGGTCTTAAATTTTCGTTGAAACCCAATATTATTTTTTGATACTTTTGAAAATTCGAACGCCTATGTATATCATACATTCCTTATTTTATTAACATTAATTGCTAACTTTCTACCGCAAATCCATTTGGAGACCATTGAATTATTAACGACGAAAGCACGCAGAATATATGTGACACACACCTTAGATAATATTGGTAGGCAACATTTTCATGAAGCTGTTGGGGAATTTTGAATTTGCATAAATAATAATGAAATTTCAACTGGTGAATAAACAAAAATAAAAGCAGCTTCAAGCATCAGCCACCATTAAAAGGCAATTTGAAATGTGTAAAGCCACCGGCGACCGAAATACCCGGGGATCAAGGCAAATTAACTAATTGAAGGCTCAAATGGACTTTGCATATATTTGTGCCCGATAAAGGTGTCTCGTCTGTCTCGATAGATTAAAGATAGCAATGGAAATAGCCACCCCACAAGGTCATGGTGGAATTCGACGACTCTCCCGGTGGGTGGCATGCATAATACATGACCAGATCGAAATCAAAACATGTTTACTTTCGCACGCCGCTCGGCAAAGTTAGTCCTGGCACAAGGATGACCACTTCAGACAGGAAAGCGACAGGTAGCCCAGTCGAAAGGCTCGTCCCTCGGCAATTTTCTTGGCAGTGTAATGGATGGTATTTAGCCAACTTAAGCCTGAATCTGTAATAAATCCTATGATTTATAACGAATAATTTCTTCAAGATTGCAGACACTCGGAGTAGACTTTTAACCGACATTACATTCGTTTGATCTAGACACTATTTAGTATTTATTAATTAATATTGGCTTATAAAGAAAGTCGGACTGATTTAAATATTGCATGTTAAAAAATATAATATATTTTAATGCCAGTTTCTGTTCTTAAGCCCAAATATATATTTTAAGCATTAACAAATAAGTTTTATGAAAATATTTTTTTTATTGGATAATGACATTATGATAACGATGAGCAAAAAATTTATGCAAATTAAAGTTTATTATTTAAGCAATTTTTTATTAACAGTTTTATGTTTAATTTTAAAACAAATAACCCTTTTTAAGCTGTCCTTTTTTCCTTTTCAGTAAATCAGTTTGAAGGTTCAGCCTTCTTCGGCATTGGTGGATACCGTGAAAGTAAAACAAGTAAATCATAATTAAATGAACGGCTATTAAATGTCAGTCAATGCCATTTACTGGGGGTCACAGTCAATATAGCTAGTTTTTTGCATTTTTAATGGTCTTCCTTGAGCTATTCCTGTGAAGGAAAATCAATTTTAGCCACAGCTAGGACAAAGATTGTTTAGATTTCTCACATACTTGGTGGAAGACATGTCGCTAAAGAGTCGACACTTGGCTACGACATAAAGCCTAATTACAAAATGTTCTTTAATTAGTGCTCGACTTAATTAAATAACTGCAGAGTCAACAGAAACAAGAGCAGAATTCGCAACGATAACAAACCCAGGCTGCCTCGGGATCTGTGCCCTTTGGTAGACAATTAACTTGCTGAAAACTGTATGTGTTTTTGTGTGTTGTGGCAACAGCTTGTTGACAGCGTCCTTTAAAGCGCCTGAAAGACTACTTTTTCCCTTGATATTTGACACATTCGCCTGCAAGTTTGAGCAGAACTGTCTCACAAGTTTGAAATTAGGGTTAAATGCTTGAATTAATATTTCATATTTTTGGGTACACGCCATAAACAATAATGAACACAGGTTAAATAAATTATTCACTTATTTAAAGGCAATCTTCTTTGTCATTAAAGTGTATACAAAATTAAACAAAATTTTAATAGCTTTAAGATTCAATAAATATTAAAAATTTGGGGTACACACCAGTCGAAGTTTTTGTGTTCAATCTTTCATTAAACTTTCCGTGATCCCACAGCTCTTTCACACAAAAAAATTACGAATAATATTAATATTAACGTGGATAGCCAATAGCAAAAATCAATGTCAGAATGTAAATGAGACCCCCATCGCAAGAACGTTTGAATAAATATATTCACAAATCATGCAATTTTTTGCCGGCTCTCGTCTGAATCTCCCTCGAAAAAGCACAGAAAAAAACAAATTCAATATATACGCAAATTATTTTTGTTTTCCGGTGGGGGCAAACGCATAAAAAAGGAGAGCTTTAAAAAAAAATAAATGCCAATTGTGGGTATTTGTGTTTGGTTTTTATGTCCTGCTGGCCACGCATAAATCTGATGGCTAACTCCACAGTTTTCTGACGTGCTAGACACTCCCCATTAAAGTTGCTTAACTTGCGTGTGTTCACTTTGATACTAAACTAAGTACTAAACTAATAAAAAGAGCGATTGAAAACATTTACGAGTTAAGGCACCGAAAATCGATGTCAAAAAAAAAGAAAATACATTTTTTAAGCTAAGAAGATTGAGTCCAAAGTAAAAACTCTGGATTTTATTAAAAGTAATTGACTTCATTGAGCCTTTTTTATTTAAATTGAGTAAAACATTTGTATGTTTTTATTTTTAAATTTGTTTTTAAAGATTTACATTTTGTTACCATATTTTGTTTTGTTTATTCAACATCATGCTTCTTTTTTTACACTCAGGCTTCATTTTCCATCTTCTAAACTCCAACATTTTATTAAAGAAATAATGAAAACAATAAGTTGCTCCCAGTTGCTTTTTATCTAGTTCCACGGACGTCCCCTGCAAATGTTATATAAAAATTCATCATACGCCACGTATGCGCCTCTGGCAGAAAACAGGATACAACTTTCGCACGTTGCTCCGTGTGCTGACCCGCATACTAAATTAGAGACCAGCAGAAACCAAAAAGTTGCTAAAATCTTTGGAAGATTTAATTATGTTTAAATAGGCTTAGCAAAACTTGCCATAGAGGCAGAGGAAATCCAAAATGAATCTAATTGAATTTTGCGCAAAGAAAATAAATTTCATTTTGCCACATGAACAGGCTTAATTTGATTGTCAGATTTTGCATATTTTATGGACAAATGCATTGTTTTCTGGCATATTGTTATTTAGCTTAAAAACCTCTGGTATTTTATTAATTTATGAACTTTACCCCATCCAATTAAAAAATTGGTTAAATAATTGTAGCTGATAAAAATACGTCAAACTATTTTAAATTGTTAAATAGCTGACAAAATGCAAACATCCAAAGCCCATTAGTGAGCAGGCATAGCATACAACCATTCGAACCAGTCTTATGCGGGTTGACATCGGTTGCATTTAATGGCATTCCCAGCCATTTGACAGTGCAACAGATGCCAATAAGTGTATTGTCAGGGAAGCAGTAGGTGCGTAAAAAACTGTTGTATAAAAGGTAAATAGAAAATTTTAAAACACAATATTTAATACGGGCGCTGTCAATACAATAAGTCGCTTATTTTTTTAGTACATTGTTCTTAAAATACACAAAAAAGTGCATTGCCAATTTATGAAATCATATCACGAAAAAACATCTAACTTTACCAACCTGACGAAAACAAAAAAAAAAATGTTCTTCTTCTTAAAAGATAGTAGGTTTACTGATAAAAAAAAAACTAGGTAAATACAAGTAATTTAAAAAATTTGTTCAATTAATATTCTTAATTTTTCTTCTTTTTCTTTTTATATAAACTTGTAAAATATGTAATCAAATTTCCGAAATATGAAATGAATTTACGTACATACATACATTCAAAATACCAATACATTTTTTGGACCACTGTGTGTTTATAACCAAATGGTACTCTTCCCAATATGCGGGCAAAATGGCCGCCAATCGCATTTCCGCCTGCGTATGCATGTGTTCGTTTGAGTGTGCATGTGTGCACCCAGCCTGTTGCGTTTTCTGGTTTCCTTTTTATTTCATTTCATTTCTACTTTATTATCCCCACTCTACCAGCTTTTGTTTTTTTTTTTGCATTCATTTGGGTTTTCCCGCAAATTTCATTGAACTTTATCCCCGGATGCAATGGACCATAAAGGAGGCGGTGGACAATTGCCAGCATCGGGCTAAAAGGCCACATAGGCACACAATGCCCTGACGGAATGAACAATACGGACGAAGGTTAAAGTCCGACGGCCCGTCCGTCAATCAAAACATCCTCGACGGACAGAGATGGACGGGAGTGCTGGTTGCAAAGATATTGGCACTTTATAAAGCTGAATTTAGCAGGAAACGATTCGGACTCGACTATTGGAATGCTGAATCAAAAATCAATTGAAAATTTAAGTGCTCCCATCAATCGCTTGATTGGCGACCGAAAATATGTTATTACATTTGCCCATTTTTACACATATACACATTCAGCTAGATTTATTGCAAGATCAAATAGGCTGTTTTAAAAACCCAAATGAAAATTTTAATTTGTTTGCAAACCCATTCATTTTATAAAAATTTAATGATTGAAAAAAACGATTTTTTTTAGAAAGCGGTTAAATAAAAATATTTAAGATCAGAAAAGTTTTTTTTAACTATTTTATGAATATTTATGCCTATTGCTGTTACTATTAAAATGTATATTAACTATAAAAGTTCGTTTTATGATTTTTCGAGTTATGAAGGTTCCTTATCTTGTAATTGTTTTTCACCTAATAAAAACAATCAAGTAAATAAATAAGAATGTTGCTCCCAAGACAACGCTTTTAGTTTTTGATGTAACATATCCTGAAAAATGGCAGGCACAAAGGTTAGTCGAACACCTGAATGCCCCAAGCGTTCTCACCAACAAAACAAATTGCTGTTGTTTTTCTTAAATTACGCGATTTTCCTTCTGGCAACAGACTCAATTTCCGAACAAGCAGTTTTACTTATTCATGCAGGTTTTCGCGATTCCTAAGACAAATGTGCGTTTGAATTTTAAATGTGGTTATTATTTTCTTTATTAAAGCAGCGAATGTTGGCCAACAAGTTGCCACAGTCAAGTGCAACAGGCCACAAAAGTTGTGAAACATGTTGATAGAGCCGAACGTAAACAGAGAAGTAAACTTGAATATTGCTCTCTGGTTTTCTGATTTTCCTCTCTTATATACCTTGAACAAATGGTTAGTAGTGGCACACATGGCGTATGAGTAATTCTTGTTGTGGCTTTGCCTTCAGCCAACAATTTGTGACGTTTACGTTTACCCCTTGGCAACGTCAAATGATAAGCAATACGAAGTGTGAAATGGATATTTATTACATTAACAAATAAATTATTTACTCATATTCAGTTAATTTCATGTTTCCCAATGTAACTAGACACGTACAACTTTCATTTTAAAATATGTATATTTTATTTTTTATTGCTCTTCGGTTGCATTCAATCAGCATTCGCATTATTGTACACAAAAAATACATAGAGACAGTATATAGTTAGAATAATGTAGATTTCAGTGTTTGCCTGCTCCACAAACATCAAATGCATTTTAAAGTATTAGCTTTAGTTACATTTAACAATTAGAATTGCTTGACTTTAAATGGATGCTCACGATGCGGAAATCATCTTTGGGTATTGTTTCCTTTAGTTCGGGGGACTTGATCTTACATTTAAACATAAATCTTTCCGTTCATTAATTTTAAATACATAGCGAAATGCGCACAACTTTCTTAAAGTTCATTACTCAATGTTATTCTGTTTGAAAATGTATGTTAAACATAGGCAATGGCATTTAGAACCAAACGACTGACTGACTGTCCTAGTGACTTGACTTGGTTTTGACTTGACTGACTGATCAACTTGACGTCTTATTAACGAGGACTTAGGCGAGAAGTGCTCATCATCTGCACACATTCAATTAGCAATGGGTATCAAAAATACTTATCATGGCTTTACATTACACTTTAGATACAAAAATAGTTCAAATTTAATACCGTTAACAAAAATACTTGAAGATCAATTGCATTTTGGAAAATCTCGCTTACACTTTTGGAACAAAAATAAACTCATTTACAAGACTTGTTGGGGAAAACAAAAAGCGTATGTCGTGTGTGTGTGTGTGTGCGGTTTGATGTGCTTCTTAGGCCCAGTCCTTTTTAATCTCGAAGGTCCAGTCCCACTCCAGGTGTATATGCTTGTCATCATCCGTGAAGACCGAACTGACCGAGTAGGTGCCGCGGGAAAATGTGCCAGAGGGGGCCTCCTCGGCTGGCGTCAAATAAAATTGAATTTCCTTCTTTGGCGGGTAAGAGCCAACCATATGCTTCATTTTGTCAACTACAGAATGATACGAAAATATTTGCTTTAGCAAGGAATTATATTTTAGGACATCCAGCGCCATCTTACCCACAACTTAAAAAATTAAACAATCCGAAATAAGGGTTTGGCATTGGAGACAATAGGATATTGATATAAGTTATTGTTAACACATGACTAAGGTTAATATTGCAAATGTGAAAAACAAAATATAAGCAGCACTGCAAAATCCAAGCAAAAGGGTCGTGCCATTAAACCAGCTAGTTCCCATATTTATTTATAAGCACAAGATGCGACTGTTCCGCTCAAAAGTATATCAAGAACTAAGGCGTAAAACTATCAATTCTGCTGCGGCCGCTGGAAAATTGAAGTCCCAAAAGTGCTGGAATCGTGTACGGTATTCACAAACACCAATATCATGTATGTCACGGTTAGATTTAACTTAATTCTACTTGAACTTAAAGGCTTATTTTAGTTATGGCTTTTTAGTAAGAGTTTGTGAAAACAAGTTTTCTTTATTTCCTTATGATTGTTCTATTACACCCCTAAATAACCGATATTTTCAATGAGACAATGAGCTAAAAAAATCTGAACTAAATAAAACCTACTTAGCTTAAAATAGGAACATAGCTTAATGAACTATCCATATCCAAAACCATACTTTAAAAAATGGCTAATCAATTTTGACCCACTTACCATTAACACCCAAGCGAGAAGTCTTTTGCACATACTTAAGGCCATGGACAATTTCGCGTTGCACAATGAAATCGATGCGCACCTTGTACTGTACACCTTCCTTGATCACAAAAAGCTGTCGAAATAGGTAGTTAGTGCATGTCATTAATGGGTTATACGGTTTTTAAATATATACCTGCTTTTTGAGCTGAGTAAGGTCACCGGTAAGATCCAATTCCATATCGGGGCGACCCTCTACGACGAGGGCTAGTTTCTTAACAATCACTTTCCGGGGATCATTGGGTTCTGGAAACAAGGAAAGATCTTTTAAACTCTTGCTTTTATATATTTGAAACAGTACTGCCTTACCAACAATAATTTTCTCGGCCTGGGCGGCACCCAAAAGGGCCTCCTTGTAGCGCCGCAAGCTCTCATCCTCCTGATCGGCGGCCATTATCTCCTCGATGGTCTTCTCCGGCGGTGCCTGGTAGTTGGCATCATGAACATCCTCATCGTGGTGCTCGGGATGGTGCTTCGTCTCCGTTTCGGCCATGACGTCTAACCTAGAACTGTCCAATTGCAATTGTTTATTTATCAATCAAATACTTTTAAATAAGAAACATGAGTCTTAGTGCCAGTGCTATTGTTAAATTGCTGCTTAAGATTTTGTTTAGTATTTCTCAGTCTCTCTGAGAGAAGCATGTGGGTCACAGGCATATTTTTAGTAGTGTGAGTAACATGTTGACGATAATGATATTGTTATATATATAAAAGAATGTGGCCTGCATGTTTGTACATAGTATCAGGAAGTATTAAAATATTTCTGAATCAAAAAAGCGGGAAAACCGTTTTTTGGATTATTACCCCTAGAAGATGTGTTGACGAATCAATGAGGAATGCTGGAGTTTTCCATGATGTGCTAATTTTGATTTTTTAACAACTTGAAAATATTCCCGAATTTGACAAGTAAGATTATTAAACACCATAATTATTTGGTGAAATCTTGCTTCTTTATCCCAAAAGTACAATTTTTAAAGGCTCTAGGCTATTTTTCAAAAGTTAAACAAGTTTATAAATAACGATAAAACACAAGACTGTAGAATATTGAAAAAAAAACAGATTAAATAGAAAACAAATGGAATACATTTCATTGCTAATTACGTTATTATTAAGTACACTTCGAGAGCATTTGTTCATTTTTTGGCAACATCAACGCTTCTGTTTCGAGCAAATGTTAGCCACTTCACAACCCGTTCAATAATATTGATTAAATTTCAATTATTAACGCATTGATGAACTGACGTGTTGATTGGCAGCGGGCGTGGCAAAGGGGCGGTCGGCGTGCAGCTGGTTCGCTTGGGAAATGAAAAAAGGTCCAACCAAATACGGAGTGGCAGATAAGGCCAGAGCTTACGATAGACAGAGAGAGAGCGGATATCGGCATTGAATAATATTGACCAGTACGGGCGACAAAAACCGATAACCCTCCGCCCCTCGCCAACGCCTTTATTATTATCTTGCTTTGTTTTTCATTATCTTAATACACGTCTCTTTTTTGCTTTATGTCTATTTTCAACAAATGTTGGGCCAATAATGGTTCTCAGTTCTCCAGATTTGGCTTTATAGGTATGTATGTATATACGGTCAGCGAAAAAAGTACATCAAATTGAAATGTTATTACTTGACATCAAGTTGTTGTGAGATAATAAAAATGTATCTATACAAACGATTTTGCAGGAACATGTGTACACAGAAAATTAATAATAAAAACTATTTTTTTTTCTAATGTCCAGTTTATATATCCTTTTAGTGTATTTCCAAATATATTATTTAATAATTTTTCATTTTTTGTTATATTCTATCTGATTATGAATATTTTATCTCTCAAAGGAAAACAAGGAAAATTATACAAGAAATCAAATTAATTTTGAAAAAGATTTATATTTATGAAAGTGAAAAACACGTAAAAAATTTTTTTAAAATGGCTTTTTTGATTTTTATAAACTTGCAGCAATTTAAAAATTTTATAAGGTGTATTTGTACTGTGTATTATAACAAGTCTACACTTAAATCACTTACAATTTTTTTCTGTGTATGTGTGGGAATTGCAAAAAGATAATAAACATTTTCGGGCTAACAACGAAAGTTTGGGCCAATAAATACAATTGAAATAATTAAGGTTGGGTGAGAAAAGGCAATTTCAAGAACAATCTTGACCAAACCAAACAGAAATTTTAAATTCCAAACAAAAATGCGAGAATCGGAAGAAGACGGGAAGACGGGAGAGGGGAAGGGGGAGAGAGAGCAAGAAGAAGAGAGAGATAGACGACCCCCCGCCAAAGTGTGGGGATACTTCAGGGAAAAAGTACGAACCATGCCAGTTTCTTTTTTTTTTGATAAAGAATGTTAAGACCCCAGACGTATGAATCACACACAGTAACTCACACACATGCACACTAAGGCCGGCACATGAATCGTCACTGATTTTCAAGTAAAATTTTTTGGGAGTGGTCCTTGGCGTGCAGATAACCAAATATTTGCTAACAACGCTAGCTACTATTAACTAACTATAGTTAAATTCGAGTATATTGTTAACAACATGCATTGGAACGCAGCACTCACACACACTCGCAAACCAACGACGCGCTCTCACCTTTCAAATATGCAAAATTATCCAAAACTTTGCTGTTGTGAAAACTATTTTGTGTAGTGTGGGCACCCGCAGCAGTTTATGCAATACAATAACGATTTTTAATATTTTTACAATTTGTGGCTTACGAACTTTTAAACAAAGCAAAATATAACGAAAAACACTCGGCGAAACGAAATAAGAATTAGAGGTGGAGAAGCATTGATGTCATCGATGTTTTCAAAATATCGAACTTGTCGATGTTTGGCATCATCGATGTTTATCAATCTCTAACGAAAATATCGAAAAATGTGTCCACTCTACAAGTAAGCATTATATTTGAATTATGCATTAACCATTATTTTGGTGACAACTAAACTTGGAGGTAGAAATTTAACCAATGTCGTTGAAATATTGTTACTTGTTATATTGCGTACAAAACTATTATTAGTTATTTACTTTAGCTGTCTTCAGCAACAACAATGTTAAGGACGTGAAACAGATATAAACGTTTTTAATTTTATTTTTAGCATATACGATATACAACTCCTTTTGACCTACCATACAGTTCATTTTCAAGATATATGATTACAATAACATTAATTTTTTATTTTCTTAGTAAATGATTAAATTAGCAGAATAAATAACTACATATTACATATGGGGTATTCATCTGTTGAACTTAAACGGCCGTACTGACGTCCCAGTCTGGCAACGCTGCCAAAACAGCTGTTTATTACTTCATCGTCGAATTTTGTGTGGAAATTTAGAAAATGACATCCCAGCTACTGAGCCAATTGAACACGGCCGACAAACTGGCCGCCGAGCCGTGGCCCGAAGACGCCACCCTCTACCAGGTGAGTAGGTTCAACAAAAACAAAGTTCCTTGAATTATATTCTTCTATTCTCATGGCATTTCGCACTAAAAGCCCTACGAGGCGGAGCAGATTCTGCTGCCGGAAAACGCTAGTTGTCTGGCGGTAAAGGCTTACCTGAAGATGTGCAACCTGCCCTTTGGAATCCGATCCTGCGCCAATGCAGAGCACATGTCGCCGGGCGGCAGGATGACGAAGTTGCCCTTCATCCGCGCGGGGGCATTTATCTTTGCGGAGTTCGAACCAATTGTGAACTTTGTGGAGCAAAAGGACATGGCTATTGGCAGCTGGCAGGACGAGGACGAGAAGGCCGATATGCGCACTTATGTGTCGCTGGTGGAGAACATCTTCACCATGGCCGAACTGTACATTAGCTTCAAGAACGAGCGCGTCTACAAGGAGGTCACGGCCCCCAGGAATGGTGTCGTCTTTCCCTGGCCACTCAACCACATGCAGAACTATGGCAAGCGGCGGAACGCTCTGCGTTTGCTGAAGGTCTACCAGTGGGATGACTTGGACATCGACAGTGTCATCGAGAAGGTTGCCAAGTGCTGTGAGACCCTCGAATACAAGCTGAAGGAGTCACCAGATACGCCCTTCTTCTATGGCGATCAGCCCTGTGAGCTGGACGCCATCGCCTTCGGCCACCTCTTCAGCATTCTGACCACCAATCTGCCCAACATGGCGCTGGCCCAGACGGTGCAAAAGTTCAAGCACCTGGTCGAGTTCTGTCGCTTCGTTGATGAGAAGTACTTTCAGACCAGGTGCCTCCCAAATTAGTAATAGTTATCGCACAAATATGCTGGCATAAATACCAAATTATAGATGTAATTATACTTTCCTTTTTATTTCCTGCCCAACGCTTTAGGCTGCTATATGGATCCTTTTAAAGCTTCAGACAAAGATATTCTTGGCACTGTAAATCACACGCTTTTGTAGACAGCTTCCGCATTTACTAACTGTTTTCACTAACTTTTGTCTAAGGCTTTCAGCAGTTTCATCTTTATTTTCAAAAGTTTGTAAATAAGTTTTTATAAAGGTGTTTCGTATGAATTTTTGAAGACGGTTCTTAGCTCACCCAAATTTATATTTTTAATTCCTAAATATTCAACAAAAACTAATAATGATCTACACATTTTACTTTCAGCAAATAGATTGTCGTACATTTACACGTTAAGGATTGTGTAAATAAGTTCTAGCTATGTTAAATACTTCAAAATAAATTGTTTGTTTATCCCCTGGAAAAAATTATTGAAGTTTTTATGTTTGATCAAGATTATGTACTTTATAGGGTCTAAAAAGTCTCTTTAATAAGTCGCACACTTTTGACCGAAACTTAAATAAAAAGCAAGTTTTAGAGATTAAATTGTACTGAATATTACCCTATTACACTGAAGTTAAGTTACAAACAAAACTTAGTTTTGTACGGGTTATTTGCCATCGACTACCATGCCTACGGTATTATTTTTAAACAAATTTGGTTTGGAGCTTTTTGTGCTAACCGGAACTGAAACTGCAAAATAGCTTTATACCTGGTATACATTAAAGGAGTTATCGGAACTAAATTATCAGTTTTGTTAAAAGTTCAAATTTAAAAATCATCTTGGTTTTTGTAACGGCAAAATTTTGCTGTGGTTTAAAAACATCGATGGATCGAAGTTTTGATAACATCGATGTTGTTATCGATGTCTCCCCACCTGTAATACTAATGTAAACAAATTAACAGCTGTGGAGGAAATAATGCCGCGGAATAAAAAAGGTAACTTCTCGCCAATAATATAAAAATAATAAAAAATCAAATAAATTTATATATATGTTTGAACACATAACTTGCCAGCACTGATAACAACATATTGGGACAATGAAGAACCTGTTTCAAAGAAAGCGTATTTTGTGTGGACGCCGCATGCTACAGAATGCCTTTTGGAAATGTGGATGGAAAACCTTCCCGATTTTTATGGAAGTCGCAAAAACTCTCATATCATGAGAGAAATGGCGGCTTCCATGAAGGATGATGGAATTACTATGGTTGAGGTTAAAGCAAAAATGGACAACATGAAGAAAAGATACCGGTATGTAATGAAACGTGAGTATAATCCGAATTGTAGTACATGATTTCATATTCTTTTTGCCTATTGTTTTCGTACAGCAAGGAATTACAAACGCTTAGTACATCAGATACTAAACGCTCTAAATGGGAGTATTTTTGCCAAATGCGCCTTATTATGGAGTACAATGACTATGAGTTCGAAAGCGATGCAGATAGCATGCCAAAGTCAAGTTATAATGGTAAGTTACAAGTTGTAATCATAAGGTTTAATTTATGTATGTAAATATGCAAAAATTTGAAAATCATCAAAAACATCTCTTGTATACACACATGAAGAAAACGTATCTGTAATTTTTAAGAACAACAAAGTTGTCTGATTGGCGAAAGAATCGTAAATATAAAATTTGGATAACGTAATTGAAATCAAAGGATTTTCAGTCTATTTTGAGTACATAGAGATACATCAAGTATGAAGTCAATAGCTTTAAGAATTAGCAATAAACTCGCAAAATGGCAAATACTGTAAATTATATTAAATCACCCACACTATTAATGCGATTACTTATTTCAGAAAGCAGCCAAGTTCAAAAGAAATCACCTAAAGAACTACAAACCGATAATGAAGCTTCAGATTCATCCACTGAATTTGAGTTCCCTGAGCCAGAAGTTAATCGCTATAACAGCAAACGGTCGCATGCTGAGATGAGTGATGACAGCAAAGATGAAATTCCAACAAAAAACTTGCGTTTGGGTAAGCAAAATGCACAAACAAGTAATGACCAAGTTTTTATAATCTGCCACTTTATTCTTTATTTACATTCCTTTTAGATAGCAGTCTCTATGAAGATAAAGCAACTGAAAGCATCCATTCCGAAATTGAATCAGATTCGTCAGTGGAATTTGTTTTCCCCGAACTCAGCTCTAAGCGCTATAAGCGCAAACGGACCAAAGCTGTGGGAGAAGAAATGTTGGCCTTGCAAAGAGAAACACTCGACGTCCTGCGAAATATTGCAAAAGACCTTTCCAGTTTTCATGAAAAGTTCTTAAATGCACTCAAGCCCATGCATCAGCGACGCTCTTCATAGTTATATTAAGTTATTTAAGGAATACTATTAGTAGTTATGACTTTCTTTTGCAAAGAATTATGTTATGTTTTGTCTTAACTCCAAGGATAAGAAGTTAAGTCTCTTTTTTTTCGAAAGGTTATCATTTTAACCACTATGAACAAATCATTTTTGTAAAGTGATCTAATGCGTTGTGAAACACAAAATATTAAATGGTTGCACATTGTGTAAAGACTTAAAATACATATATATATATTTGTTTATTTATTATAATAATTAATTTAGATTATTGTTATGAATGCAATGTACACATTTTTGCATGCAGCTGTGGCCCACACCTCCGCGCCACTTGTGATTCTTGCTAGCGCAATCATCACTCAAAACAATCAGATGATACTCGCAAAATAAGCTTAACGACGATTTGTCCAGGTTTAGCAGTTGGTCAATTAGCCCAGTTGAAGTCTTAGTTGCCGGCCTGGTGTGTTGCCGGTGCCGATGTTTCATTGTCTGCCGGTGGAGCAGCACTGGCGGGCGGTGGTACTGGTGGCGCAAACACATGGGCCATTTGCGGCGGCAACGGCGTTGGCTGCGTGGGAAACAGTCCGCCCATGGAGGGCTGCACCTGGGGATATGACGGCACTGTCTGGGCGCCGGCTGGATAGGAGAGGACAGCCGGGGCCGACATGTAAGCCTGTTGCGGTGCGGAGAACATGGGCACAGCCGCCGGTGCTGCCGTGGCCTGTGGAAATGGCAGCTGGGCGGCGGGTATTCCACCCAAAGCAGCGTTTTGTGGTGTACTTGGATCCAAAACGTTGGGTATAATAATATTCGTTGGCGGCGGCAAGGGTTGCGCTGGTGCGGGAACCTGAACTTGCGCCACAGACACGTCAGCGACTGCAGCCGGCACTGGAATGGGCTCGGCAATGTGGGCCTGCGTCTCCAGCGCTGCGGTCAGTGCATCGGTGGCCTCATCCGGATTGAAGTAGGTCTTGAACAGGCTCTGTGCTGGTGGCTCAATGGTGGGTGGTCTGACCTCCGCGTTTGTGGATCCAAAGGTGTTGGCCAGTGGCGGTATATAAGGCATCGTTGGTGAGACCACAGCAGTAGCTACAGGAGCAACAGCTGGAGTCGCTCCTCCAGCAGTCAGCAACGGAGCAGTGGACTCCGTCGAGGCAGCAGAAGGAGCAGAGCCACCGGCCACGGTATCTGCCTGCACAGGGATGCGGTGCAGATAGCCAAAGCCTATGCCACAACCCAGGGCTCCCTCGCCACCCCAGGCGGTGTTCGGCTTGATGGTGACCTCGCGACAGGCGTCATCGTCCAGATTGTAGACGTACATCTTCAGCGGCTGTTGCTCGTGCGTTTCGATCAGGGTGAACAGGTCGTCGTTCTCGTGGCGAATGGCATCTGCTCCGATGACATAGTCGCTGTACGCCCTCAATCCAGCCAGCTCGGCGGGTGAATTGGGATGGACTTCGAGGATGTGCCAGACGCTCTCGTTGGCGCCCTCGAAGGAGCAGAACCGAATGCTGACGCCCAGCAGTCCCTGACCACCCCAGTTGTTACTGGGCGTAAGGGTCAGTTCGCGCACCGTCTGCGTCTTGCTGGAATACACGGTTAGCCGCACCGGCTTGTCCACGTTCTGGCGCAGAAGCTCCTTCAGCATGTCGTTATCCTGGTCTAGACGTGTCCCAGCAATAGCCACAATGAAGTCGAAAAAGGCCTCCAGTCCTGCCTTTTGACCAGGTGAGTTGTCCTGCACTTTGAGTACATGGTATCCTGCGTGAAAAGATTTTTGATTATTCTCCATTTTGATTGTATACTTTTATTAAGCTCATTAAGTTTGTGTTGAAAAACATCTATACAGTTTTACCAAGATACATTAAAAAAGAAAGAAAAAAACTCAAAATGGAACATTTTGCAATGGAGCACTGAACAATGGGTATCCCACAGTCGACTACTCGGCTACAGAGTTCTTGTTTCTGATTGGACCAGCGGCAGGTTTACGTTTACGTGGTCCGTGCAACCGCATCGGAAAAGTTGGCCACCACTTACCTTCGGTGCCGCCACCGGGAACATGGATGCTGTGGCTCGAGCCCATCGTTCGATTGCGTCAACCTCTATTCCAAAACCGGACACTGAGTTTTGCAGCGCTTTTAAAGCCCGTTTTAATTGTGCCAACAAATAAGTTCTGTTCTTCGTGGCAATTCCAGTCGTAGGCTTTAGTGTGGCAGCTGGTCGTACGCGCTGAAATACCGCAACAGCCAGTGGATGAGCTAAAACTTACAGCTGTTCGGAAATGTTCTTAAATATTAGGGGAATTCCTACAAGTTACTTAAACTTGATTTTGTTAAGATCACATTGTTCAAATTTTAAATAATTTATTTAGTTTGATTGATTTATTTTTAAAATTTTGATAATATAATAAATTTTCTGCAAAATCCGCATAAATTTGACTTTAACCTATTATTAAAAAGGTCAAATAAACTTTGTAAAAATTATATTTAGCATTTTATAAAATAAATCAGGGATAAGTATTATGAAAACTGTTTAATACTGTTGGCAATTGTTCTTCAATTTTTGTTTGTTTTAAAATGTAAGTTTTTTCATTTCTGATTTCGAGATGGTGCAATTGATTTTAATACATAAATGTTTAATTACCTTGTACACAAAAGAAAACTATAAAATTGGAAATAAACTATGTTTCAATGTGTTTATTGATTTCAAAATGAAGCGGTCGCGCCAGGTGATTTATTAAAGCCACTAAGCTATTCCAAAATAAGTTATAAATAGTTTGTGTCCAGGACACCTTTACTTCATTGCCGCCGCCACCTGCCATTGCTGTTGGTATTTGCCTACGGCCTCCCGATGCTTTAGCATGTCCTTTTCCCTGAAAAAATAGGAATTGGAAAGCCAAACGGTTAATATAAAGATGGCATACCGTAGAGATTGCCACTTACATATTCTCCAGGGTGTCGCTGGAACTCTTTAGCTCCTTGGAGATGTATTCGATGCGCTTTCCGACATTCTGGCGCGAGTCCTCCAGCTCCTGTTTGACCAAAACTGGTCCGAAAAGCTTGTAGACCTTGTTGTCGGGTCCCAGAAGATTCAGTTCCTCCAGGACGCACTTGTTCTCGTTCAGCTGGCTCTCCAGCAAGGCCCGCTGTTTGACCATCTTGACGCAGGCTGTCGAGGATCATGTGTTTTGCATATAAATGACAATTTACAACCAGATGGCTTGCAATTCTACTCACATTTTTGCAGGTTCTGGTATGACTCAACCTCGGTCTGCATCTTTTTGTACAACGCTGCGCTGTTCTTGTCCATTTTGATTGAGTTGCTGCAGGCGTTTTTGCTGAATATAGGCTAAGCAAATGTTTCACCGATTGTTAATAATTTCAACAAAATTCGGCTAAATGCATGTGAAAAGGGAGGAGTGTGCCCGTTTATGATTTTACAAAATATACCAGAAAAAAACGGCATTGCCAGATGGCTTCAATTGATAAACTTTCGGCACTGGAAGCAAACAGCTGTCTATGAACTCTACTAGTTTTTGTTGTTAACTTCGCGCTTAACTAGTTTGGTTATTAATATATAGTCAATAAAACACAAACAAATATTCACAGGCTTTTTCTTTTTTTTTAAAGAATTGTAAACATGAATTTATGCCAAACTGCAGTGTTGGCTAACGCAAAAAGTGTCATTAGGTTGCATGATACATAAATGCATGCGGCATGAAAGAATGCAAAAAAAAAAGCAATTGCATTGTTTGTCAACGTGTAAAAGTGTTTAATATACGATTTTTTTACAAATAAATAAAACGTTGATAATATAATTAAATAGTTTTAGTGAGTTGCAATTATAAATCTAACCGTCATACTGTCGTAACGTTGCAAATACGCCCATAATAACGCTGAGACAAAAGCAAAAGGTTTCGCGCCGAAAAAGAAGACAGCAAAAACACGCATAGCGCTGCGAAAAACAAAGAAAACTCGATTCTTAATGGACTCTTTTGCGGGGAAAATGTGCACAAATTAAAAGCGAGTGCGTGCGGTTGTAATTGTGATCCGTAGAACACCCGTACCGCTCCCCCAGAACCGCCCACGCACCACCCCGCCCCCGCCCCCCTTCTGCCAACAACACACACACACAATGGCACCAGCGAAAAAACGCGAGAAAGACAATAATGCTGATGGCGCGACCACAAATGGCCTAAATTGTCTATCCCATGGATCAGCGGAGGCGTCCAATGCAGGCTCTACTGTACCGCCGACGGCGGCTGAGGGACAGGTCAAACTCAATGGCCACCAGCAGGAGCAGGAACTCTTTTTGCAGGCCTTTGAGAGTGAGTAAAGCCATGGGCTTACCTATGAGGCACCAAATGCACTACGTTAAATCTTTACCTTACCCTTTTTACAGAGCCCACGCAGATCTATCGCTACCTGCGCAATCGACACGAGACCAATGTATGTTTTATAAGGTCCCAGACATCTCTTCCGAATATCCGGTGTCCCAACTTTTAGAGGGAATATCCAAGAAATCTCTACCAAACAGTTGCCAAATATTGGTTTCCCATTATTATGAGTTCAAATTCTCGGCCAATTTACACACCATTTCAGCAAATAGTTTAAAGTCAGCTATTTCCAAACAGTTTTCGCTTCAATTTCCATTACAAAGTTAAAAAATAATTGTCATAAAATGTTTGGATTGTCCCCGAAACTCCTAGAAAACTTGTCCAATCGAAGATCAAACCTTCCAGAAACCTCTTCCACATTGTATTAAACGATTTTAAAAACAAAATTAGAACCTTTGCATCAAGCATATGTATGAAAATTTTATATATGAAGGATTTTTAAAACCATATTCATTTTAAAACCACTTTGCATGTTTTACGACAACCAACCAAGCATCATGTTAGAGATTTCTGGTGTACCCTCGATAGCCCTTGAGCCCCTTTACTAATATATTACTCCCTAAATGCACAGCCCATCTTCCTCAATCGCACGCTCAGCTACATGAAGGAACGCATGTCGCGGAACAACAAGAAGCGGGCCAGTTTCCAGGTGAACTCCATGCTGGACAGCATAACACAGAAATCGGAGGCGGTGAGCCAAAACTACCTCCACGTCATCTACGATTCGCTGCACGAGAAACTGCAGGCGGCGACTTCGGCGACGGCCAACGATTCTGGCGAGGATGTGCTGCAGGAGCACCTGCTCTGCGAGGCGGGTGAGCCTGTGAGCGTGGAGACGACGCTCTACAAGATCACACGCAGCAAGCGCAAGGATAGCACCCTGGACTTCCAGGAGCTGCTCAGCAAGAGCTCCCAGATCGTTTATAACCCAAAGGATCGCGTGGAAGAGCATGCCACCATCAGCATTCCCTTGCAGGCGATGCGGCCGATGGGTGAACAGCACACACTGTACAAGCTGCTCTTTCGCATCAAGGTGCTGGCGCCAAGCACGTGCAACGATGAGAATGCAGGTGAGTTGGCCCAGATCCTACGCTGTCTTCATCCAAAGTTACATAATTTCTTTTTCTGCAGAAACCCCGCCGAACAAGCGAACGCGTCGAAATGAGAAGATGTTTGGCTCGGAGCTGATATTGTACGAGAAGTCCAGCGGCTTCATTACCGAAGGCGAGTACGAGGCCATGCTGCAGCCTCTGAATTCCACCAGCATCAAGTCCTTCTCACCAAAGAAATGCACATGGGAAACGATGCCCGACAGCTACATTCCACTCTCGCTGACCTACGATGTCTACCAGCAGAGTCCCATGCTCAAGTTCCATCTCACACTGTCCAACGAACAGCTGCCGGAGATTATTTCGGGGCCGGAACTGCAGCGATATGTCCAGCATCTGGATGCGGTGGCCGCCGAGATGAATCACCACAATAACAATAACTACAGCAACAACAATAACTGCAATGGATTGAAGAACGGCATAGGAGGCAGCACCTTATGCACCAAATCCACGCCGGAGCACATCCAGATCGTGTACAACTTCATGTACAGCAACAATACGCGCCAGCAGACGGAGTACACACAGGAACTGAACTGCCCGTGGTGCGGATTGGACTGCCTGCGTCTCTATGCCCTGCTCAAGCATCTGAAGCTGTGCCACGCCCGCTTTAATTTCACCTACCAGCCGGCTGGAAGTGGGGCGCGAATCGATGTCACCATCAATGATGCCTACGATGGTTCGTATGCCGGTTCGCCATACGACCTGGCCGGACCATCGGGCTCATCGTTTGCCCGCACCTGCGGCCCCGTACGACGCACCTCGGTCACCAGCCTGATGGTGTGCCGGCCAAGGCGCCAGAAGACCTGTCTGGATGAGTTCCTGGAGCTGGACGAGGACGAGATCAGCAACCAGCGTTCGTACATCACGGGTCACAACAGGTAGGGGCTAAAAGATTGGAAAGAATGTATTAAGTCGAATTGCAATATTAGTTTAGAAGCTTTATCTTTTTAAATTCAGAACGATTCCATTATTTTAGAGTTTTTCATGTGTGTTCTTTAATGAGACTGAAACTTTTTTTGAAAAAATATAAGAAATGCTTAGGAAAAATGCGTTGTAATAGTTTTGTTGGATGTACATATTTGGGTGTCAAATATAGCAAAGAAAAAAATATATAAAGTCTCAGTAAAATTAAATAATCTAAGGGAAAGCGCAAAATCTAAAATAGAAAATTAAAGCAAATATTTAGATAGAAATTTGAACAGCATTTCCCTCACAAATGTTAGTAACACTTTAATTTTGTTATTAAATATTAGGGGAAATCTTTGAAAACGTATAAATATAAATTAAAAATCTATTGATAGCGAAAGACTAAAAAGTTAGGATAACATTCAAGTAAACTATCTAATTAGTGGTATCGAAATTTGTTAACTCCACGAACCGCCACAAAATACTTGCAGACTTTACCACCACACGGAAACCTGCCTGCCAGTGCATCCAAAGGAGCTGGACATCGACTCGGAGGGCGAGAGCGATCCGTTGTGGCTGCGCCAGAAGACCATCCAGATGATCGACGAGTTCTCCGACGTAAACGAGGGCGAAAAGGAGCTGATGAAACTGTGGAACCTGCACGTGATGCGGCACGGGTTCGTGGGCGACTGCCAGCTGCCGATAGCCTGCGAGATGTTCCTCGACGCCAAGGGCAACGAGATTGTGCGCAAGAATCTCTACCGCAACTTCATCCTGCACATGTGCTCGCTCTTCGACTACGGTTTGATTGCGGCCGAGACGGTCTACAAGACGGTACAAAAGCTCCAGGGACTGCTGAGCAAGTACACCGCCGGCCAGGAACTGATGCAGCGCCAGCGCGAGGAGCAGCTCAAGTTCTGGCTGGACGTGGGCATGCACAAGAAGCAGGAGGATCCCAAGACGCTCAAGTCGCCGCAGAAGCCCGCACCGCCCGCAGACCAAGCAGCTACCTCGTCGGCTTCTACGTCCGGAAGTGGGACGGCGGCCAGCTCGATGCAGCCGCCCAAACGGATGCCGGCACACCTGAAGCGAGCCAGTGCAGCGGCCGCCACTGGGAATCAGGGCAAGACAACGGAAAATGGCAGCAACGGCGGCACCAACAACAGCAAGAACGTGGCCAAGAAGAGCGCCGATCAGCCGCTGGCCACCCTGGCCAACACACGGGAGCGTCGCTCCGATCCCGGCCAGAAACGCAGTGTCAGCGGAACGCGACTTGCGGCAGCACCCGCCTCAAAGCGCAAGCTGAGCGCCAAAGGTAAGAGCCACGTCAGCATGCAGAAAAGCTGCCAGCATTCCAGTCTCATCTCCATCGTAGTCATTTGATTTGGACACCGTCACGGCTTGGGATCACATGCTGCAATCTGAGAGGGTTGCGGCTATAGACAGGTTCCTGGAAAGCATCTACACTTTGTACAGATTGTAGAATATTCTAGAGTTCAGTTTAGTAAACTAGCAACATTGCCACTTTGAAACCTTATAAAATCAGTTCATTATTGACTAAAAGAAATTTGAATTATATATTTAAAACCTGGTAATAATACAAAGCAGAATCAGCTGGAAAAATATTTAAAGACTATAAAGCTTAACAATTACATTTTTATATTATTCTTCTTTCGGTTTACGTTAAATTATTAAAAAAAATGTCTTGCTAGTAAAGTAATGAGAACTTTCAAAAAACTCTTTTTATAAAAGGATACAAATATTTTCAACATTCTGTCTTCATTATAAAGAATTTTGAAAATAGTTTTCGGTTTTGAATAATTTTATTTTAACAATTTTTTTAACAAATGCAAGAATTAATCAAAGTTTTATTTATTAAATTAACTTTTTTTTAATTAAACTTAATTCGAAAATATATTTTTTTAGTAATCTTAGGTTTTAATAATCTTTACACCTGCTGTAGAAACATTAGGATTATAAACCCATTTTAAATATTCACCTCTTAACTTTAACTAATTAACTAAATGTCAAC